GTTGCCAAGAAAATTCATTCTGACTCACAAAAGGATATGAATATGTGTAGTGCTGATAGCCCTTCAAAGCAGTTTAAAATGTCCGGCAGTTTTATAGATTTCTATCTAGCCTGAAGAATAGTTCCGGTTTGCAGAGGACACCTCCGTAGGCTCTCTGAATGCCGCTTGTCCAAAAGGACCTGGTGGCTGGCCTCCCTGGGAATAAGCAAGCGAAAGCACGGAAGTGGAGGTGACTTGGTAATGTGTCAGCAAGGAGTGGCAGGCCTGAAAAGACAGTACAGAGCCAAAATGGGATAGTGGCATATAATCAGAGCTGCTTTACTACAACAGTTCTGCCCTGAAGAGCTCTGGGTTTTAATCCTGTGCAGCATGAACCCTGAGGAAACACCACCTGACTTTCCCAGAGCTGATGCTTGGTGATTGACGGTGCTATTGACACAGCTGTCAGGTGATTTCATCACAAAATTTGGCCTCTAAATTGCTAAACTGAGTTCTTAATGATTTTAGAGAATGGCTGAGCCTGAAGATCTGCACATGCCTTTGTCAGAAAGATGTACAAAGGGAACAAAACCAAGCCTTTGCAGCATGGATGGTCAGACTCTCCTCTGCTTAACCCACCTTTGGCTTTGCACATCTAAAACATCTTCTATCTTGGACAGCAGCATGCTCTTCACAAAGCTGTTAGTCCAACTGCACAGCAAGTCTAGGCTGTAAGCAAGCATTATAGTCCCCTAAATAGGTACAGTGAGAAACTGAAAAATTCTGACTTGTCTAAAGCAACAAAACAAGATAGTGGCAAAAAAATTTGGATCTGGATGATAACATTTTCCTACTTTGCTTGATGTTACTCTTTCAGGTTAACTAAGAGAACTCTTCAACTCTGTCTCCAAAAGTGAATCTTTCGTTCTATTCTTGTGGATCTTCCCATTCTACACTGGCCAGGCTTCTTGCCATTAAAAAATGTATCAAATAATCAAACTCTTGATGGTTAAAAAAGTTGTCTGCATGTCACACATTTCTGTCTCTACTTTGTGCTTTGAACAATATTTTAATATCACATCCAATGAAGATATGTCCCTTGCATCTGATAACTTACCACTTCCCTGGAGTCCGCACTCCATCTGTTGATGGCTGTCCGTGTAAGGACTCGAGCATGCTAAATAACGGTATTTGAAAAGGAGGCGAGTTAATTGCCAAGACACACCAACATAAAGCAGGGATCAAAGAGCTATCCATATCCCCTCAAAAGCTGTAACGGAATAAAGATTTAAGAGACTTTCTCTCTTACTAGCATGGGCACCAGGGCAGGGCTGCCCAGATTTACAGCCCAGAAACACTGCTGGTCCTTGTAAGTAAAGCTCAGTCTGATTTTTTTTTGCTGAGAATTCTCTGCTTGTTTTAATGTCCCCACAAACTACTTGGCAGCAGCACAAAGGTTTCTTCAGACAGCTGTGGGATTATTACTGAGCACTTCATGCTCCCAGCAATGCAGTAATTCCCTAACCATTGGATAATTAAGGCCTTTGTTGAGGTCCTGTGACATAGTTGTGCATTTGAAGTGCTGTACCTTGTTGCATAGGTCAGACTGACACACACGCACCAAGAAAAAAGGCCTAATTTCTAGCCAAACTTCTACCTACAAAAGTGGATTCTTTGTTAGTGTTTCATAGCTGCTGGAGGTGTAGTCCATCCCAACCTGCTCCACTTCCCTTGGAGCATTTGCTTTTAGTCACCATTAAAGCCCCAGTGCTCTGTTAGAGAACTGACTTGGCTCTCTCAAGACCAGAGCAGATAAACATTGAGCCTTTTGTTCTCCTCACCCAGTGAAAAGAGAATGAAATTCCTGAGGGGATGATTCTATCTTATTTGATCATCGTTTATAATTTCTTCCTTTGTTTCCTGTCATGGATTTCCCTGGGAAAGAAACAAAGAAGCTTTCCCTGCCTGGTGTGTGATTTCCCTGCCCTTCTGCTGACAAGCCAAATGGTTGGTGCTGACTGGTGATAATATTACACTATGCAAGAGGCAAAGGGGAAATGACCTGTCAGCACTCAAATAATAAAACTTGCAACTGCCACATTTCACTGCTGATGTCTTATTTGTATTTCTGTCTTTCTAGAGCCTTTCTTCAGCCTGAAAAGCCTTAAAGCAACTTTAAAATACATTCAGGAATTGAAGGCTGCTTCTACCAACTTTTTCTCACTCAGGTACTTCATGAAAATCTGCATTAACATCATGAGGATGACTCAGACAAATGTCTGCAGATGCAAGCACTGTTCTTCTGTTCTAAGTAGTAAGTACACTTGCCGAGTGCACCGTATGCATTGTCTGCAAAATGGGAGGTTTCATCTGTAAAACAAACATCAAGAGAGCTGATAAAGATTTTAAACAACCTGAGTGACAAACACAAGTCACCTTCACCAGCCTAACATTTTGTTATAAGTGCCATTCATGTTTCATGTCCCAGCAACACAAAAATGTGCTAACTACTTGAGATGTTATCAATCCTCCGTATTTTTCCAGTTCATCACTATCTGCTCCTTTCAAGTACAGATTTAAGGAATTCTGGCGGAAGTTTTGATATCTGTAGACAGAAAGATGAAATACTGTCTAAAGAATTTTAGATGAGTTTTCCAAAAATTTCACATATAGAAAGAAAAAAAAAAAAGAAAAAGAAGAAAAAATAAAACATTTTGTAATCAGAGACCAGCAAGGCAGTATAATAGAGAAATGATATTCTAGGCAAGTATGGGCATTCCAGCCTGCTGTTAGAGTAGAAGCTACAGACTGAATTTTCTACAGTGACTAAACCCCTTCAGGCTTAGTGTAATGTAACCTACTTTTCTTAAGGAAGTATGTTCAGTGTAGGTTTTGGCAACATTTTATTTTTCACACATGATGAATTAACCAGCAAAACATCCTGCCCTTTCTTACACAGATGAAATAAACTGAGACCATGAGAGTTTTTCTCCTCAATACAAGATTTAAGGAAAAAAAAAAAGAAAGAAAACACAGAGCAAACCTCACTTTAATCTCCACTGAAAACCTGGTGTTTGGTAGATTATTCGTTCTTATGGGAACTGAAATGAGATACCAACTTGTAAAACTTCTTTCTGGGGGGGAAAGGAATTTTGCATATCCATTGTATCTGCAATTTTGTGTTTTTCAAAACCAGATGTGTTTTTCATAATTACAAGCGCCCTCACTGACAAGGATGACTTAACAGTGTGAGTCACTTACTACTCCATGTCTTCCTGGTCTATAAAGGAGGCTGGGCACAGGGCTCAAACTAGAAAGACACAGGGCTCAAACTGACAGCGTTCCCAGAAAACATTTCTGATTCTCTCACGGATGCTCTGCAAGACATCAGGCCTGTCAGTGTCAGTCTGCTGCAAAATCTAACTCTAGATTTGGTTTATGCATCATCTTTCCTTCTATAAAATGAAAAGAGTCCCTTTTTAGAACAGAAAGGCTTCAGGGCAGGGAGGGTGACTTAGCAAGTAGTTGTAAATTCCCTTGCAGGTTGGAAGCCTGATTTCAGCACTGCCCTCCAGGCAAAATCTTAAAGGTAATGCAAGAGGTAATAATAAACTTAGCTACAGCTTCCCTGTGAAGGATCTGGGTGCTGTCAGTGATTGTTTTCTGGCTCTCTTGTCTATTTGATGGCTACTGCATTGCTTGCAAAGTGCGAAGAGTCAAATCTAATAATTGTACCTTAATATACCTAGATGAAAAAGCCAAAGATTTCAGAAAACTGACTGCAGAACAGGTGTCAAAGGCTTCTAATCAAGCACCACATGTGTTCAGGGAAACAGTCCTCCAGGATATGCAGTTCTGAATGGAATTTCTGAAGATCTGTCCAGAACAGGAGATGCAAGAGCTGAAATTTTGCTTCTCCATGAACAGTGATACTTGAATAAGTGGGGCCTGCTTCAGTGCAAATACTTAATGCTAAATGCTTAATAGAATAATTTGCTTGCTGGCCTTTTACTGTTTTATCCTTCTTCTGTGACTGCTGTCCTCTAGATGCATAAGTAATAAGTAAGCTTTTCTGGGTCATTGTGCCATTAAAAAATCATAGCTTCCTTCCAAACAAGTTGCTTGGAAGAGGCCAGGCAGAATAAAGGTGGAAGAACAATGATGGCTGGAACCACAGGCTGAAAACACCTTTAAAACATGGTTGCACCCAGAAAGAAGACATGGAGACTGTCATTCTCATTCAAATAACTGTATCTGGAAAGGTCTGAAAGAAAAGACCATAGCTATGGCTAGTCCTGAATAACAGCTGTTCTAAAATACATATTTCTGTCACAAGAAGAATTTAATTTTATCTTCTATAATATTGCTTCTTCTAACTCCAGAAGGGGTGGATAGAGTAACTCTGGTGTAACATGGGGCACATAAATAAATGTGCTACATTATTTTAAATTACTTGTACATAAAGCCAGTGTTCATATTCTCTGCCATCCACCTTCAAAACAGATAGGGCACACACTCTGGAGTACAAGGAATCAAGAACTGTTGAGTAGATAATGATCTCAACATGAACGTGCTTGTAGCGGCAAAACCAGTTTCTACAGGGAGACGGACATTCTGTGGGTGCTGCCATTGAATATGGTAATTTTCATGTGATTGCTAATATGGGAGCCTCCCCACCCTCTGGCAGCTGCTGAAAAGAGATGTCACATGATACTCAGATACTTACAGAATCCACAGAATCCCAAGGGTTGGAAGGGACCTCAAGAGATCATCTGGTCCAACACCCCTGCAAGAGCAGGGTAACCTAGAGTACATCAAACAGGAACTTGTCCAGGCGGGCCTTGAATATCTCCAATGTGGGAGACTCCACAACCCCCCTGGGCAACCTGTTCCAGTGCTCTGTCACTCTCACAGTAAAGAAGTTCTTCCTGATGTTAACGTGGAACCTTCTATGCTCCAGTTTACAGACTTTTTGCTTCTATTTCAAGATATCTCCCCTAGTACAGGTCTGAGCCAAAAGATAATAAAACCCATGGCTTTTCAGAGTTAGGAAATTAGCATGCTTTATCTTCTACTATGGAAGCTGCTTTCTGTGTGACTTGTGCATGCATCTCAGTGACCAGGCACTACAAATATCAGGCACAAATTAATTCTTATTCTCTTTTGCTGACAGTTTCACCAGCAAGCTGTAATGGTAATACCTTTTCTGGGGTCACTGCAAGAGCAAGCCTTGCCATGTGAGCCTTCACTGATGATGGTATCATACCCATACTTGTATTGCTGCACATTTGTGTTTCTTCCGTTAAGCTTTGCAACTGCTAATGAGAAGCTGAAGTCCTGTACTCTAGCCAAGAGCACATAAACCCAGAGTGTTCAGGTTCTAAATAAAAAGGAAAAGTCAAGAAAACAGCGGGTGAAAGAAAGCACCAGTAGCCTAACTTAGTAGTTGAGAATCAATTTGAAGAGACATTAAAGGCCAGTTGCAAGAGGTACATAAACAACAGCAAGACTTTCAGAGGTAGCTAAACTGGTTAAATTCTTGAATTATTCAGTGAAAGAGAGTTACCTGTGGTTAGCATCAAGTTCCAAAACACAGTTCCTCTACATCCATAATTGGAGGCCAGAGCTGAGGCTGGTTAAAAATCAGAATACATCCCTTGCACCCATGACAAACAGCTTAATACAAAAACTGGCTTTGGAGATTGTTTTTTAATACTGAGCCTAACTCTATTCTGTGTAGTGAATACTCTTCCCGGCTAATTCTCTCCAGCTGCAGCAAGCCACATCTTTTGCAGGACACAATCATTCTCTCCCTGGAGAAGACCCAGCATCTTTCCTCCTTAAGCTTTAGCAAGCTACAGTTTGATTATCACAAAACATCTGGGCCCATGTGTATTACAGCACTGTTGCTATGGGCTAGCTAGTTAAATTAATATACAGTCCAAAATGAGAACAGCAGAAGTCTGTTTTCTAGCTATTATGATGTGTGTTGTTCATCCCAGGTTCAAAATGGAAAATCCTAAGTACTCTGGCATCCCTTGAAACTCTCAGCTTTCAACTACCTGTATTCCTTGTTCTATTAATTCTTGTATCTTATCATTGCTCCTCACCTCCCCAGCACCCTATGCATACTGATTAGGTCCAGCCACAAGTCCACAACTGTGGGTGAGCCTGACTGCCTTAACATCTTGCAAAAAGTCAGTGGGAGAGTGTCTGCCTGCCTCTTCTCAGTAGGTTCTGTTATCTCTGCACCATACCACCAATTAGTTCTCTTTCCCAAGGAGGCACCAACTGACTTACCTTATATTTCACTGCTGCAAGTCTCATCATGTTTCATAATGTCCCCAGGTAAACTAACTCACTCCTCTGTCAAACTCACAAGTCAAGCCAGACAGCTTCTACTGTCTCGCATGCTAAAGGGTTAGTCCTCACTAGTCTTTTCTGATCAGAAACCCCTGTGTGTTAGCAGGGACAACCACACCTACCTTAACTCATCTGCTTGTTTGAGCTTTTCTTAACTGAACAGCCAATAAGCCTCCAATAACCAAAGGAAAGAAACGGATATTCTCAGAGAGCTGCAATACTTTACACTGCAGAGATGAAGTGGATTATAAGGCCTATTCTTTAGGTAGATCTCACAACACAGGACAAGGAACCTAACGGTCAGAATTAACTTCTCATTGTGAGGGTCCCTTCCACAGACAGCCAGAGCTGGAAGAGCTACAATCCCAACAGGTTGCCAGGATGTACTAGGAGAAAAGGTGGGATTTCTGTCTAGTTTCCATCTAGTTTCCAATATGTTAGCATTGTCTTTCTCCCCACAGCCCTATAATACCAGTTTTCTTCACAGGGATACAGGTAAAAACAGCAAGTAACTTACCTTTGAAGAGCTGGCTTCCATGACACTAGAATTTAGATGTTGCCAGCATCAAAGATAAGCTTGGCCAAATAGACAAAACAGTGTGGGCATTTATGAGACATCTGGTAAAAGGCAGCTGCAGCTGGGGAACAGCTAACATTCAGTAGGAAACAAACCAATAATATATGACATAGAAATACAGGATGGTGGACTTCCTCTTTCCTGGATGTGGAACCCAGCTCCTTTGTCATTTTCCCAACAACCACAAAAGCATCACACAAACCTTGCCTGTTTGTGTGATCCTTTCACACAACAGAGAAGAAGGTGGGTGTTCATGAAAGGCAGGGTACATGGAGTACAATAGACTGGAGAAATGTAGTGAAGTGTCTGTGGACCAAGATAAACGATAAGATCATTTCCCTCCTTGATGGATCAATCCTGCTTGCTACCCATCTCTTTTCAAGTACTCTTTAGGGAGCTGGTTGATGTGTCTACATCCAAACTGAGCTCTGCAGAAGTCAGCACTAGCAGCTTTCTGCAAACCACTGGCCTGATTCATGCACCAAACTCTACTTTCATCACAGCCCACTTCCTTTCTAAAGAGCTCTCTAAAGCCCCTCAAGTCCCAAGGGGAGACAATGGTCCACAGTCTATTCTGCTTATGCACAGGAGAAGTCTCCAGATTCACAAACCTCTTCAACCCCCACATAGAACCTTTGAGGAGTCCCTTCTCAAAGTTCACACTACCTGTTTAAGTATTAACTCCTCTCACCTGGATGAAGGACTTGACTGCTTTAGTACATGCTCATTATTATTTGATTTCCTGTTTTGCTCACAACTTTCAAAATGGTTTCTGAAAACTTTGGTACCTCCATTCCCTGTCCACCTTAATGGGGACTTTGACTTGTGATGCTCAAACAGGAAAATTCCCCTGGTAAGACACAGGCATGTTTGCACAATCATTCTGCCTGCCTGACAGGGGTGTTGGGAAATATCTAAATTACACTGCGTGCAACTGCTCTGCAAGAGCAAATGACTCCCCAGCTTTCTCTAGTATGTTAATAGATGTACTATAACTGTAAAAGGGAAAAAGCTCAACAGGAAAGGCAGACATGACCAGTTCCTTCCTTAGATAGTCTCATTGACTTCAGCTCTGCCACTCTGAGCCACCAAAGGCAATGAGGCAGGGAATTCAGGGGAAGTAAGCTGGGGCAATGCGCTGCACAATACACACACAGCTTGCATGTTGCAGAACAAGACATAGGCCCAGACAAGTCAGAGCATCACTCAGGCCTGTGAACAACTGGGTGTTGCCAAAGTCCAAAAGCAACTGCAGGCAGGTCTGTATTGGTCACAGAATCACCTGCATGATGTGGAGTGAGGAGGCCCCAGCGTAATCCCTAGCTCATGAGACTTACCAAGACAGCCAATGCAGGCTGATTCGGGCACACTTCTGTTTCTCTCTTTGGTTTTGGTGCTTTTCACTGCCTCATTATGTCAATAATACAGTGTAACAACACCAAATCTTTTCAAGCTTGCTTTTCTATTTTTATTTTTTTTTAAGTAGGAAAAGAAGCATGCCCCATCTGTAACTTACTATGCCTTACTCCCTTTCTAGCAAAAAAAGATCGAGTCTAGAAAGCCACAGATCAGCTACAAAATCCAGCCCATAAAATATTGACAGTTTCTCCTACCAGCAGACAATGGATGGGTTTCTGTTGTTTTGTGCTGGTATTAGCCAGCTGCCAGAAAACAGCCCTGTGATGAAGAATGGGCTTCTGGGTTGCAATTCTCAAAGAAAGCATTGGAGAGACTTGGGCTCTTCACTTTGTTTCAGACTCCAGAGGAGTTCAGCACAGGAACATATACTTGTGAGAGCAGCTACTGAGAAGGTGGCCCTTTGCCCCTTGTATTCTAAGATGCTGTTCTGGATTCTTGACTGAAATACAAAATCGGACATCCAGAGAACTAAGGGTTCATTCAGGCTCTACTACTGATTTCCTCTGCAACCTTGAGAAGTGCCATCCCTTCAGCCAATGGCTGCCCCTGTAACATGGGAAATATATTCATTTCCTAATGGCAAAGGAGGTAGGACTGAATTAATCAGTCTGTGAAGCTGTGTGGGAAAAGAAAAAACACCAAGTGCATGGGACACTTTCAGAAAAAGAGCATGTTGTTGCTACATCACTGAAAAAGCTGATGCCTTAAGATATAGCTACCAACACACTGAGATATTTCAGAGTAGGGAAGGCAGCTCTGCTGGTGCTGTCATTCCCTTGCAAGCTTCCAAAAGGCATACAGAGTGAATTGCATTATTTTTCCCAATAAAAGTGCTTTCATTTTTCTCTGACTGTACAGGAGCTAGCTCACTACCGGACACTGGCACAAAGAGTTCTGTGTGGCTGAATTGATTAACTGTCTATTAAAGGATTTCTAAATTGTAGTTTATAGCTTATACCATTACAGGTCTCTCCAAAGCCATATTTTCAATAGGCCATAGCCTTACAGTTATGGGACAGCTGGTGTATATTCATGAGTTATTTGGTACCTCCAAGTGCCATCTAGCTTGCCAGCATGCTCCTTAGGAGTCTGGAATTAAAACACATGAGTCCTTGATTTCAATTTTGTTTGCTTGCCTAAAGGGCATGAATATATGAACAGGACTTCAGTGGTATTGAAAGTATTTCTTAACTACTTGGTGATGATCACCAGTAGCCCTGCTGATAACTCAGAACCAGCATTCCCCTCCGTTTCAAAGGAATCAACTGAATCTACTGAATACAGTCCTCGAGACTAAGACTTTGATCTTGCCTTAACATACTCATATACAATGCACCTGTAAAGGAAATAAATTTAATTCAGATTTGCAAACCCAGGAGTAATCACTCTGCATAATTATTTGCTTAGTTAATCCAGTTGATGGAAAGATTTGCCTGAAGGAACGTGTCAGCAGTTTGCTGAACAAAGGCTGCTTATGTTCCAGATGAATTTCCATCCTTTTTCTGGTTAAATCCCTAACAAATACTCCACAGGCTAACCAGTTTGTAAAACACGTTCTGACTATGGTGGTTCATGATTAAGCCAGTTGTTAAGATAGATTCCCAGCTCTAAGTCAGAGCTGAGAACATTCAGTACGTAATTGGACTTTCCTTTTCTGAAAGTTTGGTGTTTATTTGTCCAGAAAACAGTCACTAAAGGTCACTTCCATGAGCATGAGGGGAAAACCTTGAATCTTGTATAACTCAGGGTTATATAATGATTTTGTGGCTGAAATCATAATGCTGCTTTGCTATTTTTGTTGCCACATGACAGATGCCAATCCAGCTGCTCTGTTCTCCCTCCAAGCACAGCCTCCCCACCCCCAGTGCCACTGGGAAGAGATGAGGTACAGGGGAGCTGAATACTGTATGAAAACAGTCTGCTATGAGCCAGATACTTTGGTCCCCCAAGTGTGCATAGTGCTGTGTGGATGAGAGGTATCTAAATACTGCCTTTGTGTGAGCAGCATGAAGTTGCAGAAGCGGCCCTGACCTCTCCTGCACTGGAATAATTCCTTTCTGTATATAAAAAGAAACAGAGAATGAGTCAGAAATGGGGAGAGAGAATATGGCAAAAGGAGTGTCATGTTTCCAACCAGGAAAAGGATGGGGATGGAACACAGCTCTGTAGACCTAAGCAGTTAATCCAGCTGTCCCTGTCACACTGTTACACAAGCAGCTCAAGTTGAAATGGTTTCCCGCAGCATACAGCCAAGGTGCCCAAAAGCATTGAGTGCACAGTAGAATTATCCCCCACAAAGCTGTGAAAAGGAGCAAACTCTTAATCACTGCTTGTCAGTTACCCCAGCCTGCCTCGCCCTTCCTTGCCTTATGTGGCCTCAGGATTCTGGTAAGGAAATAAATAATAAAATAGAAATCCCCTCTTCCCATGCTAACTACGATCATTGCAGCATGCTAAAAGCTCAGGTATAACCTTTTTCACTTCATTCTGTATGTTAAGAAAATTTATTTGTAAATGACAAAACGAATCAGTTTTTATTTAGCCCTTGTGAACTTGGAAATGAAATTTTGTTTAAGTGGGGATTTTTCTGTCATACATTCACACTGGCTTATTATTGCAGAGGAGCAAGTAAGTGCTGAGAACGTTCATTTGCCGTTGTCTGAATGGTCAACAAAGTGCTGAGTTTTGCACAAAATTGTCTACTTCAGAGTTTCTCAGAAGATCAGAGTTGTTTGCACAGGTTTGCTATTCTAGAGTTACTTACAAGTGCTGAACTATAGAAGATGTGCCTGTTATTACATGAAAGGTAGTAAGTGCTAGAAGGTTGTTTGGATTTCCTGTTGGTTTTGGGCTTTATTTTTTGGCATGGTACAAAGTATCAATCATACTGAAAAAAACCCCAACAATTAACTAACCCTCCCAAGCCCCCATTAAAGCTGATGCTTTAATTCTCTGTTTCATTTCCCTGCTTTCTTGTGGCAAACATAAAACAAAGTTATGACATTTCCATTTAAACTGCTAGACTGGAGGAAAGAGTGGAATTCCAATTATATGTTTAGTCTGTAATGAATAATATCTTAACCTATC